CCTCTCTCCACATTGACATTCTAGGCTCATGATTGTCTTCAAACGGCCTGCTAAAAATATTCTCAGAATGCTGCAGTTGGCTTCCCCACAGAGTTCTGCCTAATATGCCACACATACACCCAACACAGAGGTAATGCAGGCTGTGAGAAACAGCACCAGAAAACTCAGAATTCCAAAGTGAGATCTTTGTCTTTCTTAAACAGAAACCTGTTTCTGCAGCTCCCAGGCAAGTGGGCATTCTGGGATGCTTTCCAATGAATTGTGTCTTTCTGTCTTTGCCACATTTTCTGCCAGGCCATGTGATTTCTTACTGAATGATGGCAGATCATCACGTGGTATCTACTTACCCTTTGGTCACACAAACTGCGGAAATCCAGTTTCACACCTCTGTCTGTTTTATTCATGGTTTGCATATGAAGCGCCCCACAGGTCCAGGCTGTCTTGAAGGCTTAGTCCTTATCTACTGGTGTTATTTTGGGATGTGTTGGAATGCGGAAGGTGTAGCCTGGCTGGAGGAAGTGAGTATGCTGTGCAGAACCCTAAACACTCGCGCTCTGGATAAAGTGACTCTGGGTGGAGCAGATGCTTTGTATTTGCCAAAGCCTCAGAAAACCCATCCACACCACTGCAGAGATAAAGTGGGGCAGACAACCTAGGAATAAGTCAGGGGCCCAGTTTAGCTCCTAGACAGACCTTCTACCTCCCTCCCCCATACTCCTGCACAGGGAGGGACAGGCTAAAACCTCTCAAATCAGCATGCTGTTCACACCTAGGAGCATCAGTAAGGAACTGGGCATTGCCCCACTGTACGGTGGTTACAATATAAAACCACACAGACTTGGGATGTCCATATACTTGGGACAACTCTTCCCTGCTGAGATCGCCCCTTCTTCCATCCCCTTCTCTATCAGACCTGCTGAGGTGAGACACTTGACACACCATGTGACCTGCACAACTAGACTCCAGGCCGGAGACTGTGCATCATTCCTTGGATGCCCGGAAGTAGCCTGAAGAATTTCAACTGTAAACCTTTGTTCATCTATGGTATCACAACAGGTTAAAAGTTCCCAGAGAAAGGCGCCTTCTAGGTGCTGGACCCACATCCTCTCAGTGTCTGCCCAGGTGAATCAGGAGGGGATCTTGTGTCAAAGAATTCGTGGCTTAAAGGGGGAAATTAACACAATTACCCATAGTGCAGTGTAGGAGTGGCCATGGGACACAAAAGGGGTGAATCTTTTTGCCGCCTTCTATCTCAGCCCTTCATACTTACTATTGGTCAGGGGTGGATGATATTCTTGGCTAGACCTTCAGGGTTGCCTAATTCAATGCTCTTAGCTTCTGAGGAGAAAGCTGAGGACTTTGGAGGTTGTTCTAAGTGACCTGCTGAAGGTTGATTTGAGCATCCCAGGTGACTGCATCTCCACAGTGCTCAGGAGGGCAGGAACCCTTCAGCTCAGACCCGGCAGACCCAGGGCTCCCGTATGTTGGGACCCCCCGTTCACAGGATGGCTACACGTGCCAGAGTTAAGTCTTCTGCCATCTATTTTGATGGAACTTTCAAATCAACACTAAGACACTGAGGGAGACTTAGAGGTGACATAGCCAGTGGTGATTCCTTTTCTTCCTAGACTAGCAAGACACAGGGTATTTCCAGCTCAAAGAGCCTACCCTTGACCTATGGACCACCAACAGACAGACCTGCCCAGGCAGCTGTGACTCAGGGATCACCACTACCTCCTGGGTTTCCTGTTTCCAGTGGCAGGCACGGTGGTGGTGGTGGTGGGGTGTCTCTCAGCACATCTCCACAGAGCACAGAGAGACCACAGGGAGACCATGAGAGGTTGTCTCCTGGGAGAGAACCCAAGTCATCCCTCGAGCAGACTGGGAGCATGTCATGGCTTCCCTACATGCTGGAGCGGAATAGCCCTAGCCCTCTTTACCCAGGCTCCATGGCTCCCCTACATGCTGGAGTGAAACTGACCTCTACCAGGGCTTCTCAGAGCCTGCTTGCACCACCCTATGAGAGGCTTCAAAGTCCTGAGCCTGCAAAGCAGCTGCTTGAAAACCCATGAAATGAGTGGCACCAATTCCTGGCTGTGCTTCCTTATCATAAAATTGGTTTCTGCAAGTACTGCTCAGACGTAAGACTTCAAATCTTGGTCTCCAATGCTTTAGTGCCCACCTGTAGCTAAGGGAGACAACCAGCTATTGTTCTAAAATGATGGATAAATTTTTTTTCTCCCCCTATCTAGAAGCCTTTGAGAGGGAACTGACACTGATTCTAACCACTCCAACCACTATCAAAATACCTGAAAGTAAATCCTGAATCCAACACTCTCGAGTCCAGCCTTGGAAGACAAAAGAAAAATGAGGAGGAACCCAATAGAGGGATGCTTTTGGAAGCCCTTGTCAAGAAATTCCAATGGACTCACATATGAAAAATTGCCCTGTTCTGACTTTTTTCTAGTTCCCTGTCTAGAACTTGTAATGCTAATTACTCTTGCCTTTACTTCTTCACATCTCCTATTCATGATTCAAGGACTTTCTTTTCCCCCTAGAGATGATTTATGCAATTTGGGAGTCTTTTAGGTAGACCCACTGAAGGGGTACTCCAGTTGCCTCACCCTGAGTCCCTGATCAGCATGGAAGAAGCCAGAGCGGTCTGTGTCCCGATTCCCTATTGACAATTTGGGTAACCTCTTCAGAGGATGGTGTGATAAGAATAGGAGGTAGGAGTTGGCTAGGCAGTTAGGGTACAAAGACTCCAAAGAAAAGTAGTCAGTTTCTTGGCTAAAAGTCAAAATGTCTTTGGGCCTCTTAGCAACATACTCTGTTCCAAAGACCAAAAATAAAAGTATTTTGGAGCTTGTATCTAATCCTTAAAAGATTTTAAGGATACCTCTTCAGAGGGGGGAATGTTAGAGTAGACAAAAGCCCCATAAAAATAAATAAATAAATCAAAGAAGAAGAAAGGTACATGAAGTTATCAGGAAAAAAGTGATGGGGAGATATGGGAGGAGGTGGAGGGGAGGGAGTGGACATGGATTTGATCAAAACACCTTATATGCATGTCTGAAATTCTCAATAAATTATTTTAAAAAATTGGTTTCTGCATCAATCTCACCAAAGTCAAGACTTTCTAAACTGAGTTACTGATACCTTAGCAACTTGGTAAAGAAATGTAATTTTCAATGAGAGAAATCAGCATATCAAAGTAGGTATCTTTACATGGATTTTTCTTTTTTTTTTTTGAGGTTGGTATGAGCAATTTCCCAACATAGAAAAACTACCTGGTTGCTGCAGAACCATAAAACAGGGTAATACGATGTACCACGCTCGGAGAGTATGACTGGCGCCTAGGAGCAGCATCTCACATCTCACGGGGAGGACAAATTTAACTAGACACGAGGAAGCATAAACCGAGAGGGAATTACACACACTCACCAACACAACAAATACGAAGAGACAAACACAGGCTAACCGGTTACCTACGTTTACCATGCCTAGTTTACCATGCCTAGTTTACCATGCCTAGTTTACCATGCCTAGGTTTACCATGCCTAGTTCACTGACTTCAGTTTGCATGGTAACACACAGTAGAAACCAGACTTCTCTCTTTGAAGATATTACGTATTTGGCCAGGAATATGTTCCTATGTTAATGGCTAAACAACCTCAAACAAGCACAGAAGAGACCTCATGGGTCTCATGACCTCTTCACCAGTGACACTTATTCATCCCGTTTCACATAAATCCTGAAGGGTCATTTCAAAATAAGGGCCAGCTCCTCTGGGGGTCATTGCTGTGTGAGGTTTGCAGCCATGACCCAATTTTCCAACTGTTTTGAATAGCACAGGGAAAAGAATCCACATTCAAATATGCTTCTCCTCAAAGCAGTTCAAAAAATTTTGATTTATTTATATTTTATGTGTATGAGTGTTGTACATGTATATAAGTGCACCTGTGTCATGCAATGTCTGTGGAGATCAGAAGAGTGTCTTGGATTCCCCTAAACTGGAGTTACCAATGGTTGTTAACTGTGCTGTGGGTGCTGGGAACCAAAGCCAGGTCCTCTACTAGAGTAGCTAGTGCTCTTAACCACCGAGCCATCTCTCCAGCCCCCTCAAAACAGTTTTAAAACACAGCTTGTCAAGTACAAAGGAGAGGGGAAGAGGGTTGAGTTGGTGCAATCATCAAACATGGAGACAGCGACAAGTGTGATCTGGAGGAATGGCAGAGAGAGAGAGGCTCTGCAGGTGTCCCTTAGCTGCTGCCCAGCTGTGCTAGGTAGAGAAGGGGAAATCCACCTGCCTTGTTCACAGGGTCTCTTGACAATGCTGTTTTCTTTATTCATATAATGTGTATGAGTGTATTGCCTGCATGTATATAAGGGCACCCGTGTCATGCAATGCCCAAAGAGGGCATCAGATTCCTGTTAGAGATGGCTGTTAGCTGCCATGTGGGTGCTGGCAGCCAAACGTGGGTCCTCTGCGAGAGCAGCCAGTGCTCTTAACTGCTGAGCCATCTCTTCAGCTCAACAATGCTGGTTTTAAAACCAAATCAGTCAGTTCCCACATGGTCTAGCAGTTAGGATTCCTGGTTTTCACTCAGGCAGCCCAGGTTCGACTTCTGATGTGGGAACATGAGGCAGAGGCAGAGGCAGGCAGATCTCTGTGAGTTCAAGGCCAGCCAGGTCTACATAGTGATTTCCAGGCCAGCTGGGGCTACAGGGAGACCCTGTCTCAAAAAGACCAGAACAGAACAACAATAAAACCCCAAATCAGCACTGCGAGGAGACGACTTGGGAGGTCTCTCCACAGTATAAGATATAGTTGGTCCAGAGCACAGCATTCTAGAAGCTTGTTGCCAAGCAAGGCACCTTCTGAAGAGGTGAAGGAGAGCAGCTGGGAACAAGTTCCTCATGATACCTCATAAAACGCACGTGCGTGCCTCTCCACCCAGAGCAGTCCAAGGCAGTCAGAAAAGACGTTAGCCTCACCGTGCGCTCAACAACTTCAGCTTTATTGTATCAACAACACAAAAGGCTGCCATTTTCTTTAAATAACAAACTATACAGATAAAAAGGAGCAGAAGTACAGAGGGTTTCCATGGAAACAAACATACAGATTCAATAAATAATATAAAATGCTTTTATGCTAAAATAGAGCTCTTGTCCCATAGATAGTTAGCTCATCTGTCTCTATTTACCCAGAAAAAATCCAGATCTAGTATAATTACTTAAAACATAGAAAAATATAATTTCACAATGGAACTAAAAAAAATGGCCAGCGTTGAGTTTCTAAGCCACATAGAATGCATGCAACCACGGGGTTGGTAACCACCAAGGAAAGGGGAAATGACATGTTACGTCTGTCTTTTGTGACACATACAATCAGAAAGATTGCTTTGTCCCCATCCTATTGTCAAAGGCATCGAGGACAGAATTAAAAAGAGAGGCATAGTTACCTGTTTCCAGAAAGGACTTTGAAATCATTAGACACTAGAGACCTAACTTTATGAATCTGAGCTAACTAAAGGGTTTTGTTCTTGAAGAAAGATGCACACTTCTAACTTGGCTTTCTGTAGTCTCTGTTTTTAATCAAGACAGTCTAAAGTGTGTGGCTCTGCTTTGCTCAGGGAACACCACCACAGCCAGGCTGGGAACAAGGTTCCTTCCGGTTACCTGCAAGAGCACTTAGTCACACCTGCTTTGTTCCATAAAACAACAACAGCTCTTAATCTGTTGGTCTATTTATTTTTAAGACATTGTTTAACCACGTAGCACAGCCGTCCTGGAACTTGTGATCCTCCTGCCTCAGCATCCTGAATACTGGGATTGCAGGTGTAAGACACTGTACCTGGTGCTCATTTATTCTTTAAGGAAAACAAAGAAACAAAAGCCCTGGGGTCTGGGATGACTTGAAAAGACCAAGGCTCACAGCTCAACTTGCATTCATTCCATAACAAAACACACACACACACACACACACACACACACACACACACACACAGACACACACACACACACACACACACACACACACACACACTGAAATGAGGGCTAAAGAAAGAAAACAATCCCACCAGCATGAGTTTCAGCAATTAAATCTCTCAAGTTACACTTCACTTGGGAGAGAAAAACCAGATTCATTCTTTAGGAAAAAAAATTTTTTTGATTCAAAATATCAAAGTTACATGGAAACAGAGAGGCACACGCCACACAGCAAGGCCCAAGATGTCATTCTGGGGTTTAGAGTTGCAAAGCTCCATCTGGCAATAAATTCATTGGCAGTAGCCAGGATATCACCCCTCACTGCCCAGCACAAAGCACAGTGTCAGGTGACAGATGCCACCCTGGATGTGCCATTGATGAGGGACATTCCGGATGCAGAACTCCTAGTCCCCTCCTGATGGAAGCAGCTTTGGCTCTAAAATAAAGCAACTAAACTTTGTTTAATGATATCTGTGGAAATCTTGAGGGAATTTCCTACCAGCTTCCCTCAAACCTTGCTTGGTTCTTCACGGAGTCAGGGGAATGGCTTTCACTAGCAGGCCCGTCTCCTTTGATCCTCATCCTGTTGCCACTCTTCTGTGACTGTGACGCTGCTCATCTGCTCCACCCACCTGTCACAATCTGAATACAGTCCAGCTCCTCTCCCAGGGCATGCTGGGGGAGGCGTGAACTTATTCCTCATCTGTGAATGATGCTGAGCCACATATGCATGTGAGCAAGCCTGGACTCAACACTAACACACTTCAAAGCATTTTTATGCATTTACATCATGTGAAAAAGGTTAGGGTTTTGACAATTTTGCTTTGCTTCTTGATATGTGAAAAATTTGAAATGTTTATTAGAGAACTCGGCTCTATGGGAAAGTCAGATGCTCTATCCAGCTGGCCCATCTCCAAATTCTGGATGAAATTTAAAAATCAGAAGAAGGAAAAAAAGAGAGAGATCCATGCCTTGATCCTTAGTCATACTGTCCACTGGTGAACAACATTTCTAGTGGCCAATGAAGTCTCAGAACAATCACTCCTAATAGCCACGCGGCCAAAGTCAAACCACAGGTCAGGCCAACAGATTCTCTCTCTCTCTCTCTCTCTCTCTCTCTCTCTCTCTCTCTCTCTGTCTCTCTCTCTGTCTCTCTCTGTCTCTTTCTCTCTCTCTGTCTCTCTCTCTGTCTCTCTGTCTCTGTCTCTCTCTCTCTCTTTCTCTCTCTCTCTCTCTGCTGGGGATTAAACCCACAGCATTGGTCATGTATTCAAGAGCTCTACCACTGAGCCATAGCCACAGCAGTCAGTATTCTGAGGCCGGGTTTCGCTATGTAGCGCAAGCTAGCCTCGAACTCTTGAGCGTCCTGCCTCTGCCTGCCAGTGCTGGGCTCCTGGGCCTGCGCCACCTCAGTGCCTGCTGCTGTGTGTCTTGAGCACATGTGTCATCTTTTCAGTGTGCCACCCTTCACTGCTCCTATTTACAAGCAGGATTTGTGATGTCAATGAACAGACCCAGCAGAGGTGCAGGCCCCTACAGAAACAGCAAAGGGGGCCTCCATCAATGATGACATAGTGAGCCAATTTCTACAAGTTTGGCTAAAAAATCACACTTAACAATAACTCAGAGGGAAACACAAGGGGCCCCAAGGACAGGAGGATGTTTTAGGTTAAGAAGAATACGCTGGAGTTCGCCAAAGGCTTTCATTTATTTCCTGTGTGTTACACAGCGGTTTTAAAGGAATCTAATTTTTTTAGGCTTTGTGTATTGATTCTTTTGATTTATGAAACCAAGTTTCCTTAGCACATAATTTTATAAAAATCATGTCACCCCAATCATCTTTAACAATGTTAAATACTCTGACTCAGGAAACTTAAATAAAGAGAAAACATGGGCCACCTCTCATCCTTGTTAATGGTCTAAATATAAGAAGTATCAGACATCTAGGAATTCACTGACATTCTGGAAATTTCTAAAATAGCCAAGTATATCAAACCCAGTTACTTCTCCTTCCACCCCATGGGCCCCAGGCACAGGCCTGGGGGTCTGCTGTGTGGCTAACAGGCACAGGCCTTGGGTGGCCTCACTGGACCCGGTCGTCAGCCCAACCGAATCTCAAGGGCTTTAGTAAGTGCCACCTATACACCTCTCAGCCATGCCCTCATAAATGAAACAGGGCAGGGGGTAGTTTACTTGGAAAGGTCTGAGGTAGAAGGGCTCTCGGGAGATTTTTCTCACACGTTTTTCTTCTAAAAGAGAGGGGACCTTGAGATCGGCACTCAGCAAAAAGCAGTAACAAAAGGTATTTCTGGAAAATATTGGCCTAACTTTCCAAAGATACAGGACTTCTGAGCCATCTTTAAAACATTTGGTGTAGCTACCGCCCCCACACACACCTCAATGAATGGGCCATTATCTACCTCCCAAGAGGCTGGAGGTATAGCCTCTGTCCCTGTGGGTCAGAGATCATGAGCGTGCGACACCCTGGTCATACCTACACGGTCATAACAATTAACTAAAATTAATTAAAATTTAAAAAATAACTAAATACTTAACTAGGGTCAAAAGACAAGTCTCAGAACAACAGCAGCTTTGCTTCTGCCTGGAGAGAGAGCAAGAGCGAGAGAGCGAGAGAGCAAGAGAGCAAGAGAGCAAGAGAGAGAGGGCCTGAATACTCTCTTCTAAGCAAGCGGAATGCCTGTACCTGGTGTATCACTCTTTCAACACTAGAAAGAACAGTCAGCAGAGCACACTTATACATTTAAATTCTGACCAGGAACTGAGATGGTTAATAAATCCCTCCTCTTTTCCAAACTCCTATGGAATAAAAGAGCCTTTCAGAAAATTATCTTCCAGACTCTCAAAAGATAAACTCAGTAAAAAATGACCAATTTTAGCCAGGCATGGTGGCCCAAGCCTTTAATCTCAGCACTCTGAAAGCAAGAAGCAGGTGGGTCTCTGTGAGATCGAGGCTAGCCTGGTCTACATAGTGAGTTCCAGGCCAGCTGGAACTGGGAGACCCTGACTCAAAAAGCAAAAGCAAAACCAAACAACAACAATAAAAACAAACAAAGAACAACAACAACAAAAAACCGATTTTCCCAGCACAGAAATTCAAAGATAGAGCTCTGGAACTGCTAAGAAGATGCGGGACAGAACACAAAGAATTCTGGTGCCAAATTTCTTTATGTTGGTAGCAGCTAATTTGGATACTCTGTAATACAACCTCAAGAATTGGACAAGTCTATGGAGGCTTTCAGTGACTCCTACTTCAGTGTGGTGACCCAGAGACCCAACATTCATTGGAGGCATGGAGGAGGCGGGACAGCAATGGAGGAAACCGCCTTTAGGGGAAGGGTACTTGCTATTGGGATTAGGGGAACAACCACTGGGCTCCACACTGTCCCTGCTGTAGAACAACCCAGTGCAAAGTGCATTAATGACAGAGAATGTGAAAGACGTCCATGTACGCAGGTGACCCACTGGAGTCACCCCTCATTGAGATAGGAACATCAACTCTTTTCTGCCTTGGCACATCAACCTGACATGCTTCCCAGGGTCAGGCTGAATGTAGACTGACCCAGTTCTAACCATTGAACCACTCACCCTGGAGACCCAAGGCCGACCCAAGGAGCTCAGGCTGGTCACATGTACAGGGTACTACCTAGTGACCTAGTAACCTGTATCCATCTTGGACCTGACATCCTAGCACATCTCCTCTGATCATACTGACCAGAAGTGGCTGATGATAGATGCCATGGTGATTCCTTAAGGAGTCATTCTGACCTCTTCCTTCTGACTAGCAGCAGAGTCACCAGAGGCTGGCAGTACACACAGGGCCCAGGGCTACCTCATTACCAACACAGCAAGAAAGCAGCTCTGACCTCCACAGAGACCCACAGTGGCCTTACCTCCTCCAGGACTGAGACCTCAGGCAGGGCACTCATCCATGACCACACCTAGGACAAGGCACTTTCCAGCTCTGGAGACTTCAATCCCAGCCTGGAAACCCTCAGGTGTGCTTGATGAGAGACATAACCATTTAAATGGGAAATAATCATTTCAAGTTCTGGGTCTGTGAATACCAAAGTAAGCGTGGAACACAGAAAAGAGCCTTTGTTTCTTCAGTAGTTTTGACAAAGCAGCAGGCCAGGCACGAGGCTGGCCAGCCCTGAGGACATCCCGGCTCCTGGAGGGCAATCTCAGTGTCGCTGGCCTCCCCAGTCCAGAAGAGCCCATGTTCAGAACCGCCAGGTCTTGGTCCCATGTGGCTCCCTGTAGCTCTGCTCCAATTCTGGCTGGAGCTGGGGTCCTCCTCCAGGTCCCCGCTCCAGGGTCAGAGGTCGTTGCTGTTCCTGTGACACAGCGGTGGCTTTGAAAGCTCCAGGATGGCTGACCTGGGTTTATTGAGGAATTTAGGGGCACGACGCAGCAGCCGCTGGGCCTCGATGAAGGTGTTTGTCAGCTCCTTCTTCCACTGCACAAACTCGGGGTCACTCTGTACAGAGACACAGGTGGGAGTTGGGACCCATCCACCCATCTGCCAACAGCCTCTACCTGGACCCTGAGGGAAGGTACACCCTGCCTGCCTTCCTGCCTGACCTGAAGACACATTCCTGAAACCTGTTCAGACCCTCCAGACAGAAGGAAGGCCAGCTCTGGGGGCTCTTCCAGTGGGTCCCCTGCACTCCATCTACTGCCTTCAGACTGGCTAGGGATACCTAAAATTTCAGCCTATCTAATAATACTTGGGTAGGTGTTTTGCTACATCAACGTTCCTTCACGTGGATGGCAATTATAAAGTTACTTAAGATGGGTATCCACCTATAATCCCAGCACGGGGAACACAGAGGCAGGGAGAGTCTTAAGTTCCAGGCCAGCCTAGGATATAGCAAGATATTGTCTCAATAACAGGCAGAAAAAAAGTGTCTATATATTTCCTACTCAGTTCTCTGCGCACGCAGAGGGAACGCCTGTGTGTGCATCTGTGCACACACCTCATACACCAGAAGAAAAGTGTTCAGAGATTAAACCTGCGCTTCAGTACAACTTGGAAGAAAACTAAGTGTTCCCCTTGGAAAACTTTATTTGGTATCTCCTGTCTGTTTACACATACCAACTTCATCTGAAGCACTCGAAAGTTAGCTAAAGCATCAAACTTCAGGCCCCACCGATGCGACAGTTTCTAGATAAACAGTGGCCTAGTCACTTCACTCCCATCTTCCTTCTACCTCTGACACTGGTGTCTTTAAAGTAACTGGCAGTTTGTCTGAACTCTTGAACCTCGGGTCTTCCTAAGTCTGTGAGCACGGACGAAGAGGACACTTGCTCACTGGCTGGGAGCCTTGTGGAACGAGATCACGGTTCCAGCTTTCCTCAAGAGAGTGAAGGAGCACTCACCTCACACTGCAAGACAAATTGCTTTCCTCCTTTTATTCGGAACAAAATGCACTTTCTCTCTTTAATCTGGGTTTCTTCCACTGAGAGGACCTGCTCCATGGCCAGTAAATTTTGCTAACCGTAAAAAGGACAATTAAAAATTACCTCATTGTATCATGATGCCTTAGGTTAAATTAACAAGTAAAATTTCAAAAACAAATGGCATTTTTCTTTCTTTCTTGGAGGATATTCTAGAATTAAAGAAATACAAAGACATGAATACAAGTTTAGACATAACATTTCAAAGAAGACTATCAAGAAAGCGAGGTTTGTGTCACACACACAGCAGAGCGTGCCCTCACGTTGGAATCTCCAGGGGCTGTGAATGTGGCCCACACCACCCATGCATGTGAACATGGACCATACATCCATGTACATGAATGTGGAGCACACCACCCATGGACCTGCATGCTGTCAATCAAGTCCCGAGAGGACATGGAGGAGCTAAGGATGGTGCTGGAGAGCAGAGACTGTGGAGATGGGCTGAGGCCAGCCTTGGATCACAGCAAATTCACCCTCTAAATACAGGTGGCACCCTTAAAAAAACTGTCACACCAGGTCTCTAGCTTCAGGTGACCAACCCTGCCCGGCCTAGCTTCAGAGAGCATACCTTCCAATCGGGGCTGACGTCTTCCATGGTGACTAGCCTGGGCTTCTCACACAGCAAGCGCTTAATGCATGCAGCCTGCCTGGCTTCCCAGTACAGGTTACAGTTTCTTTTTTGTTTTTTGGGAACACTGCGTGATACGAAACCCACCTACAGATTTCCAACAGAGCACAAATGGCAAGCCTGAGCAGGTGCCTGCATCTCAGTGTGCGGACCCCACTGGTGACATTTTAACTGATCTGATTGGAGAGAGACAAGAACACGGAGAGACGGGGTCTGAACCCGTCCTCACCCACAGCTGTCTGGCTGCACCCTTGGGCACCCTGAAGTCCTCTCCCTAAATCTAGGGTTTGGACCCAGAAGGCTACTAACAGGCAGGATTTCTGTGTATCCCATGTCACAGATGAGGAAAACAGGGCTCAGAGAGGCACTGTGAGGTGCCCTGGGCGCCAGCCGCAAAGAGCGGCAGCTGGGAGCTCTCTGTCCCAGCTTTTCTCCTCTCCTTTGTTGAACCCACCAGCTCTTCCGACCCAGTCAATCCCTCTGAGGCTCCTGGGCTTGGGACTCACTCTTTTAAATGACACCTGCTGTTTAAAGATATTGCAACGTTTTTCCAGGAGGGGAATGAACTAACTAGGACATTTAAAAGTTAGAGTTCAAACACTGTAAACTTGCTTATGCAACTTAAAAGAGACAGAGGGTAGGAGGGTACTTTAGAAAAACTATGGGCAGTGTGACACCAGCATGGGCTGTGCTTGGCACGGCCCTGGGACTCACCCGAGTCTCAGCCTCTCCTCTCCACTCCAGTCTGTTTGGAAAGAGGTAGAAGTAGCGGCGCTGCCATTGCGTGAGAAAGGGGTTCCCCAGCTTCAGCATGAACCCGTGCATGATGCAGTCCTTCCCCAGGGCGTAATCTGAGGGCAGGAGACACGATATCACACGGGTGTCAAACCCAACACTTGGTAACACCGCTAATGACACGCTTTAAGGGAAAAGGTGAATATCTACAAAAGTCACACAATTTACACTCCCTTACACATGGAGAGAGGGACTGGAAAGCTCAGGGTTCCTGGGTTTATGTTCAATGGTTGCCTCTCAGTATTAATGACCCCCCCCAATACCCATTTGAACTTCTGACAGAGTAAAAGTTTGTTTTCAAATCATTTTTTATGAGCGCTATGCATAACGACTACTAAAGAACAGAGACTACTTAAATTCCAGCTCTTCCCAAAGTCCTGTTGTCCCTTAATCCACCTTTATCCTGTAAATAATGCAGGAGTGTAAAGAATCCGCCTCTCAGCTAAAAAGCAACAGTCACAGCTGGCGCAGGCTTCAGCTTGCCTAGGCTTGCCACTCACACACATGGCAGGGTGCTGCAACTCAGGCTCATGTTGAGGCTGACTGTGTTTCTATGGTGACGTACTCTAAGAAAAAAAGGTGTATTTTCAAGTATTCAATAAAAGCTCTGGGGTTGTGCTTAAATCCCGCATCCACTCACTTATCTGTGAGTCTGCCAAAGCCCTGGCGCCATGAACAGCAACAATGACAAAAAAGGGACAAAAATTCTGCCCTCAGGGAGCTTACAGTCTGGTGAGAGTCAGACAGCCCACAAAGAGGTAAGACCTACACTGTGTCCCCGAGAGGAAGAGGAGGGAAAGGACAAAGGAGAGAGGGGCCAGGAGGTGGGAGGTGGCGGCCCAGGGATCTGCCATCTTAATTGGGGTAGGCTTCCATTTCCAGAGTGGAATTAAATGTCAGCACTGCATTTCACAGACATGCAGCAACAAGTGGGATCTCATAAAAGAAACAACCAAGGAAGTGAAGAGAAAATGAGTGGGAGAGAACCTTCGCCAGGGACACATCTGACATTCAGAATATATAAAGAATTCAAATCACAACGACAAGAAAACAAATGACTCAGTTAAAAGATGGGCTATGGATCTGAACAGAGAGTTCTCAAAAGAGGAAATAAAGATGGCTAAGAAACACCTTTAAGAGTGTTCAACATCCTTAGTGATTAAGGAAATGCAAATTAAAATCAGTTTAGGATTTCTTCTTACCCTAGTCAGACTGGCTAAGATCAAGAAAACAAATGATACCAAATGCTGGTGAGGGTGCTGGTGGGATTGCAAACTCATGCAACCCCTATGGAATGCAGTGTAGAGAACCCTTAACAAAACAAAAACTTATCTACCATATGACCAGGTTATACCACTCCTTGGCATATGCCCAAAGGACTCATCTTCCTGAAGAGATGCTTGTACATCCATGTTTATTGCTGCTTTTTTCACAATACTAAAAAATGGAAGCAACCTAAGTACCCCTCAGCTGCCAAGTGGATAATGAAAATGTGGTACATTTACATAATGGAGTTCTACTCAGCAGTGAAGAAGGATGGAATCATGAAATTTGCAGGTAAATGGATGGACTAGAAACTGTTACGCTAAGTGAAGTAACACAGACTCAGAAAAACACATGATGTATGTTCTTCCTCATTTGTGGATCTTAGCACCAAATCCTTACATGTGAGTATTTATCTTGATGTTACTGCAAAAGCCAGGAAAATGGAAAGGATCCTTCTATTTACCGACAAGTCTGCCAGTCACCAGTCATCAAAGAAGCTTCTTTGGCAACAGATGAAACTTACAAAGTTCCACAACTGATCACACACAGAAATTAAATATCTGTGAAATGCCCAACTCTAAGTGACACATCTACAATGTAACCTCTATACCTAAGGCTCATGGAACATAGTAGAACAAGGGGTAGAGAGAATATTAATGCATCTCTCAACTCTCATCAATGAAGCTCCCTCATGCAACAGAGGGCCATGAACACAAAAGGCCACACGTGGCCAAAGCATAGAGAATAAGAGTCTGCAGAGTGTGGGTCCTTGGACAGGACTCCTATATTAAACTTCACCCACCTAGAGCTTGGGGACCACTGTGGAAGAGGGGGCGGAAAGATTATAAGAGCCAGAGGAGGGGGCTGGAGAGATGGCTCAGCAGTTAAGAGCACTGGTTGTTCTTACAGAAGACCCGGTTCAAATCCCAGCACCCACATGGCAGCTAACAACTGTCTGTAACTCCAGTTCCTGGGGATCCGACAGCCTCTTCTGTCCTCTGTGGGCACTGCATGACACAGGTGCACTTACCTACATGCAGGCAATACACACATACACATAAAATTAAAAATAATAAATAAAATATTAAAAAAAAAGAGCCAGGGGAGGAGGTACATGACCATATGGAAACAGTCTTACAGGCTCCTGGGACTTTGCTCATATAAGTCTTCAGCAATGGTGTCAACAACTCAAGCAGACAAAAACCCAGCACAGAACTGGGGAAACAGGAAGCAGGCCCCAATCTTAGCAGAGCTATTGGTAACTAATTATTGCTAGATGAGGGAGCGTTGATCTTCTTTAAGGGAGTGACTGTAGATAGGCTGACTAGACCCCAGTGTATGAACTTGCACTGAGGGATATCTGGGTACATGAACTTGACTTGATGGGCCTTAACATAAATGACAGAATGCATGAAATCCAATTGGGGGGGTACGGATGGAGGAGGGGGTATAAAGATGATTAAGATGTTGTGTATGAAATACACAAAAATTCAATAAAACAAAGAAAAGAATAAATAAAGTACCATGCTTTCTTGCCCCCAGTACACTGGCACTATGTTTCACAGACACCTAAGCCTGTGCTGCCAAGTCTTTCCATGAAGGAGGCTTCTGGACTCTCAGTGAGGGTCTGCTCAGACCTTTCACTTCTGAGGGTCGGCTTGCTTACCTGTGAAAATTCTGCCTAGCTTTTGAGGAAAGATGTATCTCACCCAGTTCATCAGAACATAGATCTTTTTCTGCACCTACTTTGCCAGGAACCAAGTCCCAGCAGGACCCTCCCTCCCTCTAGTAGATAACACTGGGCAAAAGTCCGGGTAAAATATGCTATGGAAATCACCACTCAGTGTGTCCCCAGTCAGCCAGCCATCTGAACAGGGAACGGCAGCACACAGAGGCCATATTCCAAGAACTCAGAACCTGGGTGGGGTGGGGGTGGAGGGTAGAGGTCAGAGAGCTCAGTCTTTTCTTCATTCTGGAAACATCCATGTCAGAAGCAAGTCCTCCATGGGGCCAATTTCCTAAGTAGATGACTGATGGCCTGGGGGTTTAAGGTAAGACCAGGAGTCCCCCTTAAAGGTTTCTACCACAGGAAGAGAAAGGGCCTCTGGTTCTTGTACTTTCGTGCAGCCAAAGTGAGATGATTCCCATTTTAATCCCCACCCACAGGACAGTTAAGAATCTAGGATCCCTGAAATCCTGGAATAATCAAGGCTTACAACATTTAGTGAATGAAGGAGATGGATTTATTTAATACTCAACTTGATACAGTGTTTTCCTGTTTTGGAAACACTAACAGGGCACTCGGTTAGTTGAAACAAACAAACAAAAAAAAAATGCAATCTGGCTATTGTTGAATGGGGTTTGTAATACAAATGGATTCATGTAAGTTTCTTGACAAGCGACCTACGCTTCTTAGGGCCTAGAGAAAAACGAAAAGTGGGACCTTCTCCAAAAGTCATCAGAAACAGCAAGATGGAGACAGCCAAGCCCTGAACCAAGTCCACTGCCCAGTGTCACCACCTGAGTCACACACCAGTGAGCTGGGTCTGTTCCTGACACTGTAATACTCTATCTCCGAGGACTAAATTTTCGAGGCTTCCCCTAAACATGCCACAAAGGGAAGTTGTAGAACTGAGATCACGCTGCCTCCCTCAGTGTGTGCATTTCTATGTAACTGGGGACAACCACGAGCTTTGGAAAAGTCTACTCAGCTCTTCCATTTATATAAAACCCCAATAGTTTAGTTGGTTTTAATGTGCTGGGAAAATACTTTCAGACACTGGTCTGTGCTCGGCGTTTTACCTTCCTCATGGCCAAGCTGCTTATTTTTAGCTCTCTTCCTGGCCTCAATTTTATCGGTGTCGGCATTGACGGCTTCGTAGACAGTTTCCACCATTTCTTGCTGCCAGCGCTCGGAGATTACCAGTGGGAAGTTCCTATAGAGAGCCTGATCGCAGTCGAGCAGCTGGGCATGGTAAGAGATACAGACAGAGGTGTGTGACTGAATGCCTTCTCAGAGGCTCAGGAATTGGCACAGCATACAACCACATGACCCCACCATGACATGTTCAGGAAGAGAGCCCTGAGCCAGCACCCGGCACTGCCCTGAGTCCCTGCTGATGGATGGCACAGGCAGCCAGGCTTGGGGCCCACTCTGAGGAACTCTTCACCCTCCATCCCAAGCTGTTAGTGAACTAGAGCCTCCTTGCCAGCAGGTGGGGCATGTCTGTGAGCCCAGCATCTGGGAGGCTGAATGAAGCAAGAGGACTTAGTGTTCAAGGCCAGCCTGGGCTACACAGCAAGTTTAATGCCAGGCTGGGATATATAGTAGGAACTTGTTTCCAAAAGCTGGGGGAAAGACGACTAAAGAAAAAAGAGAACTGATATTGATATGAAGCTATGAAATGTCTTTTTAAGGTAAAGAATAGATTTGGGGGAAGAGGTTGAAATAGGGTCTCTCTGTAACTCCATTTGGGCTGGAACTTGCTATGTAGACCAGGCTAGCCTCAATCTCACAGAGATCTGCCTGCCTCTACCTCCAGAGTGCTGGAACTAAAGGCGGGAACCACCATGCCAAGCAAGAATAGATGATTTTTAGACAGTGCCCTCCCTGGCCAGGGCTCTGGCTCTCAAAAAGGCTTCCTGCTGGCCCTTTAGCATTCTTTCTGAATGCCGCCGTAGGTGGCTCTACTTGGTTGAGCACTGACTATGCCAGGGGCTTAATCAGGTCAGATGGAGTTCATCCACGATCCTACCCCTGTCACAGTAGAGTGATCTATTAAGGCTCATGGCCCAACCTCACTCAATTAACAGTTGGCTTTGAGACTAGCTGCTATGTCCCTTTTGAACCCCAACTCTCACACAATAGTGGTTCTATTTTTAGCACCTTTGACAGACAGTAGTACACTGATGAGGATCTGTTGTGACTGCAGGAATGTTTTCCAGCAGCTCTGGAAGCAGATAGGCAGGCAGCACCCTCACACCCCACTGACAGGTGCGGGACACGCAGAACAGGATACTACCCTCCTGCTGGCCCAGGCCACTGATCCATACCTCGGGACTGTGGTCATCATTGTGGTCTGGGCCAGCTCCCCTCTGTTCACAATTAGCTGCATTCTGGGAGCTACTCCATCCCTTCCTGGCTCAACCCCCTCTCTTGACACTGTCCCTCACAGGGGCCTCAAGTGTGAGCTGCTGTCTCTCCCTACCTCCTCTTCCTCTAGCCACAGTCCTCCACTTTTCCCTCCCTCTGTGTTCTGAGTCCCTTTGACAGTTCCAGCAGGATCCAGTCACCACACCTGCCTTTATCTCTCCAGGAGGCAAGTGCATGTCTGACATGGCCTGCGGCAGGGGAAGCCCTGCTGGTGGATCAAGTGAGCAGCTTCTGGGGTTGGAGAAACTCAAGCAGGTGACAGGGATTGGGGCTGGAGGGAACAGACTGGAATAAACCACCAGAGTCTGGCAGGTGGGCAAGGGTTACATACTGATTTAGCATCTTAGGGAGTGTGGTTACATACTGATTTAGCATCTTAGGGAGCGTGATTCTCTCTCGTGACTCTCCCTCTGCAATTATATCTTGTCTCCACTTAGAAAAATAATGACACGAAACAAAGTTTAAAAATCTCAGAGAATGTTATTAAAGACAATGATCACGTCACCTTTGATAGATGATTGGTACTATGTGCCCATTCTCTCCTGACACAGGAACAGGAGACTTAGAAGAATGAAAACTATAGGGTTTTGACTCTGGGTTAGATGTGTTTGAAATCAGTGGGGTTTTTTTCTTCCTCATAATATGCATTCGAGTTTGATTTCAACCCCAAATATTCCAGATTGGTAGTGATTTGACCATCTTGCAGTTTTTCCAGGAGTGGAAAGAAAGCTCTGGCTCCTGACTAACACAGATGCTTTACTTACACATTCTTCAAGCTTGCCCAACACTAGAACCATCACCAGCTTTAATTGATTCTCCCCAAATCCAGAAGGGCGGGGCAGCAGGAGGGAGACTGCGACAGTAAAAACAGGATGTTCAAGTCCTCCCTGGCTGCAGGGTGAGTGCAAGGCAACTTAGGGGGACCCTGACTCAAAATAAAAAGTGAAAAAGTGGGGCTGGAGAGATGGCTCAGCGGTTAAGAACACTGGTTGTTCTTGCAGAAGACCCGGGTTTGAATCCCAGCACCCACATGACAGCTAACAACTGCCGTAACTCTAGTCCCAGGGGATCTGAGCGCTTCCTCTGTCCTCCACAGGCACTGCACGACACGGGTGCAGTTACCTACATACAGGCAATACACGCATACACATAAAATAAATATAATAAAAATTTTTTTTTAAAGTGAAAATGTAGATTGGGACTGTAGCTCATTGGTGGAGTGTTGAAAGCCCTAGTCAATTCTTACTGCCAGAGGGAGAGAGAGAGAGAGAGAGATGAGAGAGAGAGAGAGAGAGAGAGAGAGAGAGAGAGAGAGAGAGAGAGAGAGATTGATTCTTAGCAGAAATTCCCTCGTGTAGAATATAGAGGAACTGTCCAGTATGTACCTTAATGCCTTTGGTGTCTTCCTCATCAAATGAACCGATATCAAAGGCATCCGCAGCATTGACCTCTCCCCGAGGAGGGATTAGGGGTGGTGGGTACTGGAAAGACCCAAGAAGCAGAACAGCTATTAGATGATCTATATACCCCAGTCCAACCTAACATTCTATGAAAAGAACACAGTGTGAGCCACTAATACACCCCCACCCGTCCAGCCTTCGGAAAGCATACTCTCAGAAGGCACAGCCACTTGGTCACAGAGTCCCATGTGGCAAACTCCCATGGGAGCATGCGTGATTCTGACATGGCAGGATTAGCGGCCAGTGTCTCCTTACTCAGAAAACCTAATCCCTCTGTGGCTGGGCATCCTGCAGAAACAGCATCTACAGAAATTCAATTGGGGGGCCAGAGAGATGGCTCAGCAGTTAAGAGCACTGGCTGCTCTTGCAGAGGACCTGGGTTTGGCTCCCAGCACCCACATGGTGGCTGATACCATATGTAACTCCAGTTCCAAGTGGTTCAACACCCTTTTCTGGCATCTTCTAGGCACTGTGCACATGTGGTGCACTTATATACATGCTGGCAAAACACTCATACACACAATATAAGTAGATCAAAAATTCAATTGGGCGTTTCTTGTATTGAGAAGAATGTAACAGTGCTTACAGTAAGGAAACGATGCCAGGTGTGGTCTATGAGGAGACTTGGCTTGGCAGGAGAGACGACTGTGTTCCAGCCCCAGAACACTCCCCAAAATCCCCAAAAAGTAAAAAGTCAGGAAAGGGCATGAGTCAGGTGTCATACTACCGAATCTTACATTATGTGATACGGAGCTGGGAAATATGCCTACTTTCATGTCGGACATTCCCTGTGCACGTTCATGTAGAGCTTTGTAAAAATGTGGTCACATACCAAGACTCCCAAAGAGGAGAAAACATTTAAAGTCTTAACTCCACAGATAACAAAATTAGCCAGAAAGCTGCTCTGTTTTGCCTTCTGTTGATTTATAGAGATGATATCTTTTGATAGTCAGGGCTAGAGAGATGGCTCAGCGGTTAAGAGCACTGGATGGTATTTCAGAGGATCTGGGTTCGATTCCCAGCACCCACATGGTGGCTAACAATCTAGTTAGAAAGTAACTCCAGTTTCAAGGGATTTGACACCCTCTTCTGACCCCTGAGGGCACTGCACTTACATGTAGGCAATACACTCATACACATAAAAATAAAAATGATAAAGAAAAGATTTTTGGAATTTCTGATAGTCACCCTTCAGCACCTAAGGGGACAGCTCCAGGCAGTCACCTTGAACACCAAGGTCCACAGATGTGCAGATCCCTCATGTAGAATGACAAAGCTTTGTAAAGAACCTGTGCATCCTCTGTACACCTTAGGTTATGTCTGGGTGGCTTCTAGTCCCTGACACAAAGTAAACGCTCTGCAGAAGTTGTCAGCTAACACTGCTTAGAGACTAACAAGAGCTAGTCTGCACGTGCTCAGCACACATGCCACTTTTCCCCCCTACTATTTTCCATCCACAGTTGGCTGAATCACCCCAAAGGAAGGTCCCTATATGGTGACACCTGTTATCAGAGCTTGTGGCTACAGGGGGCTGGGAGGTACCCTGGAAGGACAGAGCTAGGAAGCCAGCAGGAGAGGGACAGGCAGAGAGGCGCGCTCAGGGAGGGTCTCCAGGGCATACCTTCTGTAGGTAGACATGTTGCCAGTCGATGCCCTTGAAGAAGCTGTGCCCTTTCACCTCTTGTGCCCTGGGAAAGAGAAGGAGAAAGAGGGAGAGACGCACAAAGGTCAGAATGCACTGGGAAACATGACAAGTGCTTTGTGAAATGTCTCCCACCAAGAATCCACAGGGCTCATTCTGGCTTCTAAGAAAGCAAGAAGTAGCCTGGAGAGATGGCTCAGTGGGAAATGCATTACTGCACAGGTGTGAGGACCTGAGTTTGGATCCCAGCACCCATGTAAATACTGGGTGGGTATGGTAATCTGCCTGTAGTCACAGCACACAGGAAGCAGAGACAGGGACTCCCCAAAGCAAGCTGGCTCACTAGACTAGCTGAATCAGTGAGCTCCAGGTTCAAGTGAGAGACCCTGCCTCAAGTAAGAGAAATCAAGGAATGTGCTCATCAGTCTGCGGCCTCCACGTGCACACACTCACAAGCTTGTGCACCTGCACACACATGTCTACACACAAACATGAACACACTCATAGCACGTGTACCTGCATACACATGTCCACACAGAAACATGCGCACACACATGAATACCATATAT